AAAGACAACTGATGCCACAATTCGAGCAGCTCGTTATTTCCACACCAGAGAAGTCATCAAAACCACAAAGGTCACACATGGCAGCCCCACCTCTGTCAGTGTGCCCCAGGGCAGCTGTGGCTACAGTGTAGCTTACCATCATCAGTGTGTGAATGTGAGTGTGAATGGGTGAATGTCTGTTAGTGTGAARCACTTTGGGGTCCGGAGGGACTTGACAAGCGCTCTATAAGTTCAGTACCATTTACCATTTCTCTTGATCCACAAAAGCTTTGTAGACTAAACAGTCAGAGTTCTTCTGACCCCCTCAGCAGCTCTGCAGGGTGGACTTACTGTCCACTGTCCTGTGACCTGAATGCTACTGACACTCCACATAGCAAAATTAGTCTGGCTCAGTTCTGGTCCAGATACTATAAAGCATGACAGTCCTTTGGTGGCCCACATGTGGTTTGACAGTGGCGGTCCATGCATGGGCCAGCACCTCCCAAACCAAACCACAACTGGCAGAAGCTGGATGGATGTACCAGCTGATAGACATGGAGCCAACTCTAATTTATTTATGAACATGTTGACCAAAMCGTTGGACTAAAATGGCCCACAACATGCAAGTCAAAGGAACAAGAAAAGGACTGAATTATAAAACAAGATTACAAAAACACAATATCAAATAAAACAAAAGATTTCCATAATGCATCCTCTTTAAAACAATAAAAATTAGTCTTTAATCAGGGTTTAAAAGTATCAAGTGCAGCACAGTGTCTGTTGCCTCTCAGTGAAAAGGATGGTCTCCTGCCCTGGGGTTTTTCTGGGTGCAGTTTGGATGTTCTCTCAGTACACCTGTGTGTTTTCTTCAGGTCCTTTGGTTTCCTGCCACAGAACAAAAGCATGCATGTTAGGTTTACTGGTAACTTTAAATTGTCCCTATGTGTGTGTGAAAGGGTGAATGGTTGGTTGTCTCATCTGTCTCTGTGTCTCTGTGATGGACTGAAGACATGTCCATGGTGTTCTTATACAGTGACTGTTGGAAATAGGAATCATCAACCTCTGTGGTCTGGAGGAGAAAATTAGGTAGAGAAATGGATAAAGTATCAAGTGTTGCTGATGTTTTATAACTGTAACAGGACAGACTGTTCAACTGTTAAGGACAAGCTACAGCAAGAGCCCAATCTCTTCTGTGATTTATTGTGCTTCTGCCAATATCCAAGAACATCTGCTTGTCTTATTAGAATTTGTGAATTATGCTAAAATGGTCAACTGATTAAGTCCCTGTAGGACCGGTGCCAGAGCTTGGTCCACATTGCTGGTAGTAAGCCAGACTTGTTTCCACAGAAAGTTGGACTCCACCAAGTTTGTCCTTTGTCACCGATTCTGTTCATAACTTTTACGGACAGAATTTCTAGGAGCAGCCAAGGTGTTGAGGAGATCCTTTTTGGTGACCTTAGGATCACATCTCTGCTTTTTGTGGATGATGTGGTCCTATTGGCTTCATCAGATCCTGATCTCCAGCTCTCACTGGAGCATTTGGTCTACGTTCCTACCCTAATCTATGGTCAGGAGCTTTGGGTAGTGACTGAAAGAAGGAGA